TAGTAGTGGGAGAGTATTTACACTTCATATAACAAGACTCCTGTGTGACTCAGCCATTCCTCTCCTGATCTGAGTTACAGGCTTGTGTTTCTGGTTATTAAGGACAATGGTCTTCACCAGCTTTTCTCCTTCTTTTCACATTTCAACTCCTCCAAAGGGTTGGTTGCCTATGCAATGTCTTACCTAATCTGCAACTTTTTGCAAAGAACAAACTCCTTGTCCCAGTCAAATCCTTCAGATCTGCACGCCTAGAACATTTTGCTGAGAATTTTGTATGTAAAGCACTTCCTTAAGATTCGATCATAAAACGTTATACAGAATGACTGATGGTCTCTGTGACCTAGAGTGTTTGAGTATGTTAGGAGCAGAAGTGTCAGGACCCTGAGGGCAGCAATAAAACTTAATAGTCCTGACCAGCCTCACCTGGGACCCCCAACCACACCCTGCTCATGGGTCAGGAGCCCTATTTAACCCATTTGGGTTAGCAGTCCTGAGTTATGTTGTAGGAGTACTGGTCTTCAGTCCCATCTTTAGTCCTGCCTTCTAGCTGGATCATGGGTCCGTGTTGTAGTTGAGCGTCCAGCCCTGGCTCCTCTTACTCCTGAGTGGGCTCCCCCTGGACCTGGTCCATCTCCTCATTTAGAGTTGTCGGTGGACTCTGTTATCAGCACCTGGCTCTGCTGTGTTCAAGTTAGCATCTTTAAACTGTCTTTTCTTGTTTTTTTTTTTTTTTTTTTTTTTTTTTAAGAATTCCTTTAAGTCTGCTCTTCCTTCTGGCCATGTTTCAAGTGTAATTCCAGCTAATAAGTAAACTGAGTGTAGACTAGTGAGCAGGATAGGGTTAACTTTCATTGGGTTCCTGTAATCATTTGCTATATGTAGCTGAGACACTGAGGCTTAACCTAAGAATGAACCAAACACGATTGGTTCCACTGCTGGGCAGAGCTCCAGAACTTCCACGGAGGTTGATAACCCATGACTTTGTGCTACTGTGTCTCTGAATTGAGGTCGAGGAAGAACAAGTAAGCCTGTTTCACCTCCCTTTGGGGCTGAGGTAAGAGCATGCATACATGCTGCTCCTGTTTGACTGGTGTGTGTGGTAACTCATTAAACTGTCGTTATGCTGTGATGTCTGAGAGCTTCCTCTGAATTTCAATGGAAACTTCCATGAAGGCATCCACACCAGTGCAGGGCCTCAGCAACCAATCGTGTTTCTGGTGGCTCCATCAAAAACCATCTGGACTTCAGATAGATGGGTGCAGAGGTGAGAATAGGGGTGATGTTCACATAGTTGTTCAGCATCCTGTATACTCTGAGGTGGGTCTTCCATACAGCTGGTGAAGGCACCTGGCTCTCCACGGGGTGAACGATAACGCTGTGTAAGGCCACGGCACTCTTTTCCACCACTGACTGTATAAAGACCTGCAGGGGTATAAGTACTTGGGATGTGGTAGGGGGTCTGAACACCTTTTGGGCAGAGTTCCTGCCAAATGTAGATGCTCTTGGGAATGCCAGGAAAAAAATTGAATTAGGAGTATGTAAGGAAAACTTGACTTTCACTTGCTGTGAAAGTCACTCCTAGATTGGATATTAACATATTAAGAAACCATTCCGTTGGGTTTTCTGCAAAGTTGTGGGAGAAAAAGAGCATAAAATGGATTCACTGTTCTCCTGTTGGAGGATCTAGTCATATACGAGTGGAAGAACAATCCCAGGTTATTCTCTTACAGTCATTAAAGGCTTGGAACAAAACAGTTAATAGCAACAAGTTGCTTAGGTTAATAATTAAGCATGCCTAGTGGACAACTCCGAGCTGTCTGTGACAGGCATTGGGACTTTTAAGAAACTAGTCTGGTGGGTTTTAGCACACCGTGACCGTTACCCACACAGGGACTGAGCTGAGTGCCAAACACAACCTCAGACTGAAGTAGAGCTGGCATCAAAGGGGTGGAGCAGTTATGCTGGTGCCGGAGCTTCTGCACTTCGCTCATCGGAGGACTGGAAGAACAAAAAATTGAGTAAGGTAAGTAATACCATAAAAAGTCCTAATAGGAATAAGAAAAGTAAATCTAAATGATCCTTTATGTACCTGTTTTAAAATGCAAGGTTCACATGCATCAGGGGTCTAGACACTGACCCCTATAAACTGCAGTTATATTAAAATGTGCAAGAAATATATGGAGAGTAGACACAGTAGGTCTTGTGGTACAATAAAAAATAGAAACTTAGAAGCTGGCTTTATGGAGACAGTGTGTTTGCCATAGTTACGGGGTAACTAAAGCTTCTGCCCAACTCTCACCTCTAAGAATGTCACTCTTCTGTGACACCTTTTCTAACCCCCCACTTCTTCCACCATATTGTGCTAACCCCCCACTTCTTCCACCATACAGCCCTGTGTATCTGTTTTCTGTATCCCGGCAGCTCTGAGGAAGCTTTTTGTTTGAGAATTCATGACCATGACATATATATTGTATTTGGACGATCCTAAAATCATGTTTACGGTAATAGCAGTAGGGAAGGAAGCAAGTGAAAAACAATCACTTTTGTTATAAGGTTTGCTGTTGCTGGAGAACCAATCAGCAGACTTCGTTCATGAACACCCGCTACGGATGCGTTGCATTTCACTCTAATTTTGCAAAAATAGTCTCCACCCCTAAGGGAGGCAGAGGTGCTTTAGAGGCTGCACAGTGTCTCCTTTAGCGTCTGTGTTAGGCCAGAAGAGGCATCATCTTGAGATGAGACGACTTGCTTCCAAAGTGACTTGTTTCATGTCACAGAACTGTCTCAGTGAACAGATGTCAATCCTTCTGGATAGATTCAAAGATATGCACCAAATAACGCCCCAGGCAGCAATGGCTGTTCAGTCCATGGGACCAGGGTAGAGCTAGTGCTGTGTGTAACACCCCTGAATGCTTGCAGTGGGATGTTGGCTCTGCAGAGCTGGTTGCTTTGCTCTGTGGATCTGCTGGGTTGGGCAACACAGGTGGATGTGGCTTTATTCTGGATTTTGTCCTCTTCTGTCGTTATCACCAAATGCTTTGCTGCCTAGTTCTGAGCAGTTATTTCCGTTCTCTATTCATTCCCTCCCTTTCCCATGAGGTCAGTATATTCCTATCAAAAAGAACCCAATTACTACATCAGTATGGGGCGTCCCTAAGTGCTTGGAGAATACTTATTCTCCAACTTTTCCCCGGCTGCCTTGAAACTCCTTACTGCATTATCTGGCAAAGGTCCGACGGAAAGAAACTGGACCAGAGAAGCAAGTTCCCTTTCCTTCCTTTTCCTCCTAAGTAACAAATATGCGGTTCCCCAACGATATCCAACACCCTTGGACACAAGTGGACCACATCTTCTAACCAGTGTTCAAGAGCACTTTGTGTCTATAGACCACAGATCCTTTCTCTGCATGTGTCAGTCCTTTTAAAAATGTCTTAAAGCATCAGGTATCCCAAACCACTGTAGCACTAGCAAAGAAAGAACCAGCCTTTTTTTTTTTTAGTAGTGTTCTTTTCTTTAATGTAGCTGTTAATCAACTTAATTGGCTTCATTTTGATGGGTCTTACGGACATTTACAGAAGCCAGCAAAGCAGACAGTGCTATGGACAGTTGATAAGGTTTTTCCAGGTGACCTGACAGGCACTCACCAACATGCAAGAGGGCTGGAGTCGGTGCAGTGTATATAATGAACGAAGGAAGAACACGTAAGGTCTTGGTACCATCATCCTGTGGCAAAACTAGGCCTTAACGGAGTTGAGGTCTGTTCTTGTCCTTTTTTCAATAACTGACCGATGGAGCAGGAATGTGAAAGGCTGTCTGCCTTCATCTTTTATCTCTTCTGCTTGAGGAAGATGGATTCTCCCTTTAAGAATTACTGATTGTACAGTGCCTCTTATAGTGATTGTGAATTTTGCCCTTTAGGTCCTACCATAACAACAATCCGAAATCCTAAATTAGCTTCTTGCCTTATGATTTAATCTTTGGGGCTTTTGTCATCTGAGCTGAGTTCTAACAACCAAGAGATGTTCTGGGGGAGGGGAACAGTCCCCTGTGAAAAAGGTGTTCCAGCCTCTGTGCTCACCGGTGAGACTTTGAGGTTCTGGCTCATTTAAAAATGTGGCTAAATTAATTGACCCATGGTTATTTCCATACTAGTGCAAAGCTCAGGGTGAAGGCTGTAGAAGTTTATAATTTATATTTTTAAATGTTATAATAGTTCCTGGCACGGACTTTATAAAAGCAATGTGTGATCTGTCTGGCTATGATAGCAAGTAAGACCAAGGAACTTTCTAGTCTACAAGGACTCAAATGTTTATTTTCTTAAATTATTAGAACAGTTGTTCTTAGATCACAGCTGTTGTGATTAAGTCTACCAATGCTCTTCCAAACAATTTCTAGGCACACCTGAGGAGCCAGCATGGGCCAGTCCCAGTTTGGGGCTAGCTGTGTAAGGCTAGAGAGATTAATAGCGTAGTCAGGACCTGCCATTTGGCTTTGGAGCTGGAGAATGACCATGGCGTGATTTAGTTTAATGTAATAAATGCAACAATTTCACACAAAGCAGCACAGAGATAGGAGAGTTTAACACCATAGATTCTAAATGATGTAACTGCTTTCACCATATCACCTGTGCTTAAAGATTAATCGGAGTCAGACTCCTGAAGCACGGCCCCGGTGGGGGAGAGCTCATCCTGAGCTTGGCTGGGAAGCGGTCTGCTCAGAGGGGTATATGTTCTATCTAGGTCTGTTGAGTGGGAGGAGGAAGAGTATGGTTTGCAATATATTGCTCCTTTACCCTGTGTGAGAGGTGAAGCAGTGTTTTCTCTGTGGTTCCATGTTGCAGTCTGTCTCGTCTGCTGTAACACAGACCCTTGTTCCCGCAGATTTGCAGTGTGAAGAAAGAACAGAGATGGGGGCTGTTTTAATGTTACAGGGAAGGTCTGAAGGCTCCAAGCCATGATCCTGGAGCCAGACTCTCGTGAAATCCCCATCTAAAGTTCAAGATGAACCCCTGGAGATCATCCTTTCTGAGTGCTGAGCTGCTATTCTTTGCAGGTGGGTGACAGAGAGGTGTTGACTCCAGCCACACTGGTCATACGATGCCAGCAAAATCCAGTGCCACTGGGTTGGGTTCAGACTGACTGAGACATGGAAAAGCATCTCTCAAAGGTGTTGAATATTATAGGATATTGACTGCAGCATACTGGACATCATCCATCCTTATCAGTGTTTTTTATGGCATTATTTCCATACCCAGTGGAAATTTCTGGATTCATTGTTAATTTTCCCTGTTCTACCTGGGTTCATCTCACGCTCGTTGTTTTTCATTCACTTGATGACAGTCCTATCACCGTATGTTAATATTAATGGTTCATAATGCAAGCGTGTCCGATATTTGGGTGGTCAGTTCTGGTGTTCAGTGAGATTGCATTCACGTGCACATAAAAGTTGGAAATCTCCTGAAATGCTGAACAGGAAACTGGATATCACTGTAAAAGGACTTCTGAAAAAAAAAAAAAAAAAAAAAAAAAAAAAAAAAATCCACATTGGCTAAAAAAAGAAGTCAGCCAGTGGTTCATTTCTATTAGATTCTGAGGATGAGGGTCTCTAAAATAAATCCTAAATTACCATAATAATTTGATGCCTTCATGAAAAGCGTATAGCAAGCTACAGGTGACTTAATTTCACAAAGCAAGGTTTCCCTTGCAGGCCTGTTTATTTCCGAAGGACTTTGTTAAGAAAGAGCTGAACAGGCTGTCTTGGAGCCAGAAGGGGATATATTTTGTGGTCAGAGTGTACAGAAGTTATCAAACACATTTCTTTGAGAGCCGGAGGAATAAACATGAGGCTTATTGTCTTTATTTTAATTCTTGAGGAGAATTAAAATTGTTTTTGCAGCGACAGCCACAGGACTGCTCATTAAGCCCCGAGAGGGAAGTGTCGCTGGAGGAACGTGGATTACTATTACCCTGGACGGTGAGTTTTTTATAAAGCACATGTCAAAGTAACAGAGAATCGGCTCCATTCAGATTTGTGACAAACCCCAAGCAACAAATACCTTCCAGGGACAAGGAGGAAATGTGCAATTTAATGCAAATTGAGAAACCACTGATGTCATTTAAAGTGAGCCTGTGGGCTGGGAACCACCTGTGAAGATTGTGAGCGAAGAGAAGGTTGGTTGTAAACCTTCTTCGTTTGTAGTTGTGTTTGATTATGCTATGAAAGTCAAGCTGGCTAGTTTATGATTAGGTAAAGCTTGACTTTCTGACGATTAAAAGTCTTTGATCCTTTGGACAGCTTCTTCTAAAGAAACGGGCTAAGCAGATCCGCCTTACAGCACAGGCCAACTTGAGTTCCTGTTAGCAAAACTACGCAAGACATCAGAAACTGTTAAGACCATGTCAAACTAGTAATTTTGCAGAGGCTTTAAGTATCTGTGGGCATGTGTCTTTTCCAGCGTAGATGGCTAAGGCCATTCAAACTCCCAATAACTGTCAATCTCTGCAGTAGTATTTTATCTCTCCCACATATATTCTGTATTGGAGGAAAAAAAATAACCCATACAGTTGCATGGTGGGATGAACTTGATCTTAATACGTGTACTGGTTTGGGCTGGGAGAGCGTTAAATTTCTCTGTAGTAGCTTGTACGGTGCTATGTTTTGCATTTGTGCTGAAATAAGTGTTGGTAACACACAGATGTTTTAGTTCTGAGCGGTGCTTCCACAGAGTCTAGGTCTTTTCTGCTCCTCACCCCACCCCACTAGAGAGTGAGTTGGAGGTGCACAAAAGTTTGGGAGGGGGCACAGCTGGGACAGCTGACCCTAACTGGCCAGAGGGATGTTCCATACCATATGGTGTCATGCTCAGCAATAAAATTAAGGGAGAAGTTGAGGGGTTGGGGCTGCTGCTCAGGGACTAGCTGGGCATTGGTTGGTTGATGGTGACCAATTGTTTTAATTTGAATCACTTGTCTTTCTTGGGTTTTATTTTCCTCTTTGTTGGGTTTTTTTCCTCTTCCTTACAAGTTGTTGTTGTTTTATTTAATTATTAAACTTTTTATTTCAGCCTATGATTTTCTAACTTTTACAGTTCTGATTCTCTCCCCTCATCCCACAGAGTGGGGAGTGAGTGAGCAGCTGTGTGGTGCTTTGTCACCAGCTGGAGTTAAACCATGACAATATGAAATCACACAAACACGGTTTTAAAAAGTCTGATGAAGGGCTGTAAGCATTGCTCCTAAAGAGAAGCTGGGTTTTACATTTCAAAAATGTTTGTCATGCGTGACTGAAGTGAGTGATCCTGTCCTCACAGAGCTCTTTTGATTGACTCTGATTACTTAGGCTCAGCATCCCACCAGCTGGAAAGTGTCTCCTCAGCCAGTGCATCCCAGTTGGAGGTGTCCCTGGTGCACCCAGGCCTGCCCAGGTTGCCATGTGATGTCTCTCCTCTGTATTTTGACTTAGCCACTATAAGATGCAGAACAAGGTATGGTCCATGACTATAGTGTGGGGAGACCTCGCCTTTTGTCTGTTAGGATCCTCATTTTCTTTCCATGTCTGTACAGGCAGTTTGGGTGTTGGAGGAACTCCTGTGGCTGCTACTGTGATTGCCCCTGAGCACCTCCTAAGCTGTGTTGCATTTATTCTTGTTTCAACCTAATGAAGCACTAGGCTACTCAGCGTGAGAGTCAGAGTGAGGCTTCCTGGAGTGGCTAGACTTAGATCTTCAAAGATTTGTAGACATCTAATTCTTAGATGCAAAACTCACAAGCAAATCCTGAGAGGGATTTGGTGTCCAAGATCATGAGCAGAGCAGAAAACCAATATGGTTTCAAGGACCAGATGGGCAATCTAAGTTCCCTGTTTTCTATCCTGTTTTAACTTTAAAGAAGGTTGTTTGGCTGGAAGACTAAGGGGTGTCTTAGGAGGCTCTAAGAGTGACCCTAATGGGGCTCTTCCATCTCTTGCTGTTATGATTTGGCTGGGAGTTAATTCTGCTGAATGCTCTGTTGAGAAACTGTGTGCATTAAGGATGCAGCATTAATTTAAAAACTAGGATCAAGATGCCCTGTAGATCCAGGCAGCCCTGGGTTATTTTAGTACTAATGAATAACAATTACTGTCTGAGCATGTCTAATGAGCATTTCTGTGTTTTGCATTAACGTACGATTTGGATAGAGTTCTGATGTAGTCCTATCGCTATTACTTAACTGTAATTTCTTGTTGTGTCTCCACATCTCTTTTAAATTGTTTTACAGTTTGGGTTCATACACGTGACATTTAGGTTCACAGTGTAAATTTGCTTTGCCTGGTTGAAGTCTCAGTAGACCTGCTAAGAATGGAGACCGCATGAAGGACCTGGCATTTCCTAAAAAATAAATTCATTCTGTATAAAAATAATATATTTCTTCCACTAGGCCTTCACCCCAGGAAGGTTTGTACTATGTGGAGGTGATCTTTAAAGGACACGTGATTAACAACCTGACTAAGGTGGAGAGAGAAAACTCTACTTTCAAGGTAACAACGAAGCAACTATAGAAGTGATGTTAAAGAACTCAAGGTATTGAAAGGAGTCAAACTTCAGACATAGTATCACAGGAAATATGTTGAAATATAATCTGTAATGTACTGTGCATCTGACGGTATGTCAGAGCAAGAAGTTAGGATGCTCTTTCCATTCCTTCAGAGGGGCATCGAGGTACTTATCAGTTTGGCACTGGATAGACTAGGTGACCCAAGAGGTCCTTCTGAATCAAAAATCTGGATCCAAATTTACCTGTCTCCGCACTTAAGCCACACAGTCAGAAGACCATATTGTGTCAGAGACCCTATGCTCTCTTCTGGTGTTACCCTGCAAGCTGCAGGGTGGCAGCTAACAGTCTGCACTGAGATGTAACCATGGACAAGAACGCTCCCATGGGCAGAGCTGGTTCCAGGAAGGGATGTCCCTTCAGCTCTAGGACATCTCTCCACACCTGTGATGAGCAGGATTTGGAAAGCTCAAACCTCAGTCGTGATGTCTATATCTGTTGCTCAGCTATTTGGAGAGCTTGCTACCAATGTTTTCCCTTTGGCTCTCAGTATCAGAGCACGTTGTCTCAGGAGCTTGTGGGGTATGGTGGTACGAGACCAGCTAATGGTGATGGTGTCAATATCTCTTGCAGAGCAGAATCCTTACCCATGGCTGTGTGCTTCGGGATGAGGCCTGATGTGTTTGAAAGTCATGTCCCACCTCTGTGCTAACTTTTGAGTATCAAGCAAGAAAGCCCAGGCTTTTCAGTAAATTGCACATTAAAGCCGAAGAGTCATTGGGAGGTTCAGCTAGCTTAGAGAGCTGATGAAAAATCACCAGGGGATGCTGTTAATGAGGCACATTCCAAGCTAAATAAAACACAATGTGTCTCTTTGTTTTGGGACTGGGACCTGGGAGCTATGCGTATTAAAAATTAATTTTGCCTCCACATTAGATTGAAAAAGCCTGCTGCGGGCAGCAACAAGTCTGAACAGCTCAGAAGACTTGTGTCAGCTAGTGGCCCTAGATTTCATGCCGGTTTTGGCTTCTTTCTGTGCATCAACTCCAGCCCAGGTTATGATGTGATGTTGCCTTTTCTTCTTAGACGTGGCCATCCCTGAAGGGACTTTTGTGGCTACTCATTCATATTCAACATGACCATAAGGAGGATGGAAGGAAAAGATTGAGCTTTAAAGGTGAATGGGGTTCAAGGAAAGCTCAGAAAAAGCCCCCAACATATGCAATGGTGTCTGATTTGATTCAGCAAATGAGATTTTTATGCTATTTATTGGGGTGATAGCAGCATCTGTAAATGCAAGTGAGGACAGGAGAGGGCTCAAAGAGAAGGTGGGGAAGATGAGTGTGTCCAAAAAAGGGCAACAAAGCTGGTGAAAGGTCTACAGCTCAAGTCTTACCACTCACAGCTGAGGGAACTGGGGTTTAGCCTGGAGGAAAGGAGGCTGAGGGGAGACCTCATCGCCCTCTATAACTACCTGAAAAGTGGTTGTAGAGACGTAGGGGTTGGTCTCTTCTCCCAGGTAACAAGTGGTAGGATGAAAGGAAATGGCCTCAAGTTGCACCAGGGGAGATTTAGATTGGATATTAGGAAAAATTTCTTCACTGAATGTGTTGTCAAATACTAGAACAGGCTGCCCCGGGAAGTGGTGGAGTCACCATCCTTGGAGGTATTGAAAAGATGTGTAGATGTGCTGCTTAGGGACATGGGTGGGTTTGGCAGTGTGAGGTTAATGGTTGGACATGATCTTTATGGTCTTTTTCAACATAAACAATTCTATGATTCTAGATAGCAGGTTCCAAATTATTTTATTTACTCGTATACCTGTAGTCCAGGAGCCCGCCTTCCCTTTTCATAACTCTCCTTGTGGCTTTCCCAACATATCCTGCTCTTTCTCATTGCCTGTATGTTCCCACTCACACCAGACCACAGTCTTGGCTACCTCAGCTTGTTCCAAGATGTTATGCAGCTAACCCAGCACTGGATAATACCCAGGGAGACAACTCTTATCCACAGCAGAAATCTTTGAAACACTTCCAAAGGGTTTCCACTGCCTTTTTATTTCCTTTGGTCCTGGGATCCAGATGCTTGATTTAGGCACTCTTTAGCTGCTGAAGCCGTCCATTTATTTGTCCTGTTTGGTTTGCCATCTTCCAGGGAGGGACAGGGATATTTGCAGAAAATATTAGTTCCATGTGATTTAATGGCATGTGCAGGACCATGTGTGCCTCTGGCCATTTGACAGATGAGTAGTTCTCCCACACACAATGCCATTTGAATAGGATTTGGTGTCAACCTAGGCAAAAAATGTCTAGAGTAATTTTGGTTAAAAAAAAAAAGTCTCGCAGATTTCAGTCAGCTGGAGAAAAGGGGCAAAAGGGCTCCTCTACCTGTTAAAAATACAGCCAAAACATGTGCCGGGTCAGGCATCCGTGTGTCTCATCTACTTTGGGAGGCTGATGATGACCTTCCTCTACTTGGAAAGAGTCCCTGTGTATTCCCCATCTTCTGAGAGGCTTGCTTCAAAGCACAAGCCTTCTTTGACTCTGTTTAAGTCAAAAATACTACCCCACAGTAGTTTTCCACTATTTCCTTGATTTTTCTCTCAGAGGCCAAGGTGGGTTCTTTCCCAGAGATGCCTCTGTATTACGCTGCATTAAGGTGGACCAGTATAAGCATTTTCTTTGCTACGCTGCTTTAGGATACCTGGAAAGCTTGCTAAAGGCTAGCTGAAGTATTTAACTTCTGTGATACAGAAATAGTTGAGTATATACTATTAGGAAGAAAAAATGATGCCAATAATACAAGATAAAACGGAGGTCCTAACTTCAGCTAAAGCACGGCTTAGAAATTTTGTGGTATGTTAAACTGTATCTTCTGGAACTGACTCAAGCCAGAGTGGTCGATTTGGGCCCAAAAGGATGTAAAAAGAGCAGTAAGCCATACTCTGAATGCAGAGAGTACAAGAAGGGGTTATTTGTACTTACACCCTTCTCAGAGCAGGACCGTACTTCAAACACCAAATCTGAAGCGTGAGTCTCTGAAACGCGGTTGCCAACTGTGTTCTGAGCAACGCGTAATCAGATCTTGTTGGACTGCTGCGAAAACGACTGCCGTTTAACTACAAATTTCTCTTTGCAGTTCTCTGCTGCGCAGACACCTGTGGTTTACCAAATTAGTCCTCCATCTGGCATCCCAGGTACGGGACCTTTCTTTAAGCTGGAGCCCTCTTTATTATTTGATGTTCCATACTGTCTTTCTCCTTATGAGGGATTTGTCTTGCTGGGGATTAAAATGGGCACCTCCAGAACTTAATGTACAAGCACATGTTGAACAGGAAAATGGGTTTGCACAAGGGGAGAGAGTCTGGAACACTGACTGCAAGAGAAGTGGGTAACGCACAGTGATGAGATTATTTGGTACTTAGCTTCTGCAGCCCAACTCTGCCTGAGTAGGCAAACGTTGTTCAGGGGATGGATAGGTCTAATCAGTCCCAACTCTTGAGTAATCCGACCCTATTTAGTAATAGTTTTAAGAAGAATTAGCTATTAGGTGATGGTAGGTTGGACTAGATGATCTTCAAGGTCTTTTCTAACCTTGACTATTCTGTGATGATTCTCTTTCAGAGAAGAGTGTCACTGTTTTCGGTATGAACAGTTAACTGGTGTATGGAAGACTTCCCCCCCC